ACCTTTAAAAAGGTCAACTGGTTCAATGTTGATGTGTGGCTGTGGCTGGGTGCTGAGGGCACGGCAGCCATGCAAGATCCGGACGCCGCCCCTTTTTTCCCACCTTCAGTTACCACCACGCACATCTCGCCCATGTCCTGCAATATGAACAGGCAATGGTTCCAGTGCTAAGTACTCCGTACTGATGTGCCGGTCTGTACTCCGTACGGAAATCTCATCAACTTGGAGCTAACAAGACAACGCACCCCTTGCTGCCCAGCGAAGCTTAAACGAGTGGATGCCGCACAAATCTCGCCCATCGATCGCCAAACCTGTTCACGGTGATACTAGCATCACTTATGCTGTGGATCTCGTCTGTGCAACGAGTGGGATTTCAAGGCCTACGACCCCGGAATGAGGAATGCGGCCCACCGATCACATCTTTTTGGCCTTGGTTGTCAGAATGGGAAACAACACAAGTATGACCGCGAGCTGCGCCGTTTTATCCAACAAGACGTCTTTTGATTTCGCCGTCTACATTTTCCAGATTCGATTGCGTAACCTCGAAACTGCGTGCTGGTGTATTCCGTACCGAAGACTCTGTACGCAGCAGCACCACCCCTTGGGCGGGATTTGCAGCTGGTAATGTGAAACGATGAATGATTGTTACTCATGGACCAACACAATGCTCCTTGGCCATGAAATTATAACATTGCCCCCTCCCCGGAAAAGCCAGCTACTACGAAGTACTCCGTACCACAGAATGTAATGACAATGGCACCACAACACGACGTCCCACTCTTATCTGTCATCTCTTTTTTTTTTCGCGCTATAGCCAGCCCCCCCAGCGGCCTGGTCAGCCAGGGTAAGGTGCGTGTAATTTCCTGAGATGATGGTCACCGAAACGCCATCATCATCATGAATGGCTTTGCTCTGGTAAATACGGAGTAATAAGCCATGATATCGGGAGCAGCTGTCGTTCCGTGACTACGACCGGTACAGAACACATGAATAGGGCTCTTTTGACTGTCGGCCCGCTGCCGCGCACTTGACAAGTTGCCCCGTCCCAAGATGAAGCTTTCAAGGTGCGAATGCCACAATATACCAATAAGGAGGACCCGTGGTTACATGGGGCTGGAACAGGAAGGCAACGTGGATTCAAAAGTCTTGATATGCGAACTCTGAATTCGCGACTGTACTATGGAGTACGTACTTGCTACTTCTCGCACACGTTTGTTTACGTTTACGAAGTGCTCCGTAACTCGGTGCTAGTTACACATATTACTACATACTCCATGCTCTGTACAGAGTGCGATGATCAGAGACGAGCCCGGCTCGCTTACCACGACCATCTACTCCCAATGCCACGGAGATGCATCCTGCCTTGTCACCGCCTGCCCGTGGCACAGAGACAAACTCAAGTCAGACAGGAGTGAGGACGAGTTATCAAACTGCCTGTCCGTATTACAACGTGATGGGTTTTTACTCGAGAGCGCCAGGTGTTGATCAACAAGTATGCAAGCATGAAACCGACAAATGAATAGTTGCGGTTAATATTTCCGAACATGGCCCCGAAGAGGGAGGTGGGAAAGGGGTTGATTTCTCATTACAAGCATGTCCCAGCGTCATTTTTTGGGAGACAGCCCATCCTGAAAAGAGATCAACAGACGCCATGACTTGAAGCAGATGCGCCACTCAATCAGAAGCTGACCCGTGCTGCGGTAATGTCCACACCTAATTTGTGAAACAATGGGCAGATCAAGATCGTCTTTATGCCATGGATCACGACTTGGGTGGCCATTCGTCTATCCCTGCCTGATGCCTCGGGCTTCATCCGTTGTTGTTCTTCAACCGAAAATTACTCGTTGCCCTTTAACAAACAGCCATACTACTACTACTTTACTACTTTGTACAGAAAAGGGGGGAGGCATACGGAGTAGAGAGGCAAAGAGGGTCACAATGAAACGGCCCATGGCGGTGGGCCGCTAAAGCCGCCAGAGCCCACAAAAATGGGCGGCGGGTTGGACATCGACATGACGGCGCAAGTGGTATGCTCGAATACTACGGAGTAGTGGTGAAGATCTATGGGCTGGCCGGGTGGGTGTTGTATTCCGCAACGAGCACTGTGCGATACATCGCTGCGTCCATTGGACGTTAACGAGCGATCATGATTTTCCGAGGCGAAGCGCGAGGCCAGGAAGTGAAGCCACAGATTATGGCAGAGTCTCTTCCGGGAGCCGGAAGAGAAGTCGTTGCTTGTGTCTCTCTACGGAGTACCCCGAACGGGTGCGTGAGAGAAGACTGCCAACGTTGCATGCGGATTCATTCCCACCGACTTACTCGGTACTCGATACAGAGCACTCCGTACTCGAAACCAGATTCGATTATAGAGCACGCTGGCAGCATATCTCAACTAGTACGGAGTACAGTGCGGGCTGTTGGCCGTCTTCGCTCATTCCCGAAGCGATCGTTAGACTCGATACCCGCCAAAGTGCCCGTCTTGGAGGATGGGGCGGAAAATCGCCTGCAAGTCATCCGAATACTTGACGCCATGGCAAACGACGCCATGGTGGACAATGATTCGAAGTATCCAGAGAGACAGATCTGGATCTATAGTACTCATTGCCAAGCTTCGTCGTTAAAAGCTGGGCGCGCGCTAGAAACTCCTTGGGGATGGGTGATTGTGAGAGAAGGCGGGAAAGAAGAAGCTTGGCATGCTCGTGGCTACTAGCCCCTGCGAGCCGCTGGTGTGCCCCTGTCAAACCCCAAAATAGTGAAACCGTGGGCGGCAGCATTGAAGACATGTGGCCATTTTGGCATGCCGTCGCTTTTGGTTCCGGGTAGGGACGTCTATGTGGCAGTTTAAGCATGCCTCGATCCAAAACGGACAAAAAGTTGTTGTATTGACATTCGGGACACTGGCTCACACGAGCATGACTCCCTCAATACGGAGTACAGCACGGCAATGATGCCACGATATTCCGAGTCAACTTCAGAGGGCCCAGACGTGATTCATTGCATGCTCGGTGCAAAAGGAGCCGTGTTCCAAGTTGAGCACCCCGATCGACAGTCTGTCTTCTGGCCCTGAGTCCGAGCCAGGCTTCCTTGACAGTTGACGCAGCAAGGCTTTGCGGATGGTTGCACAGAAAGTTATTTCCTCCTTCCCTCTTTTGTTAATATCCTCTCGTTGTGCTCGTCGTGGGATCTGTTGTCAATTTCTGCTCCAAAGCCTCTGGCCATGGATGCTCCGTAATTAATACCGTGTATGCTGTGCTAGGTCCCCCTAGTCGCCCCAGTGCCAATCTCCCTGTCCTGGCGGCGTCAATGGGATGGGTGGCATTCAGCCGGTTCTTCAACGTGGGTGACATCCGGCGGTGTGATTCGACACCCGCCCACCAGGTTGTACCCGTTTGCAACACTGGAATACTCGGCACAATCTCGCAGCAGCAGACCGTTGAAATTTGGCGCGTTGGGATGCTTTCCCTTGTTTGGGACTCGGTAGGGCCCATGGTGCTTCAGTACTCGGAACTTGTTGTAATGGCTGGACAAAGGTCAGCGTATTTCGATGGACGATGACTCGGGAGCAGTAGGCCACTTCGCTTTACCAATAGCATCGGGGGTTGTCGATCTGCTGCACTCGGTAGCCTGTCTCCCCCCCCATCGCGGCCCACGCACGCGCGTCACGAACGGATCCCACTCCCACACCCCGGAGCAGGGTCCAATATGTTTCGGCACGTCACCGTGAGCTGCACTATTTCGCCACTGTGCTTTCATCACCGGCCGGATTCGAAGGCTGGAGCAGCGGCCAGCGGCCAGTACTAATCAGCACTTGTGTTGGCTGATGCCGGGAAAAACAAAAAAAGGGGTGTGTGAACTGGTCTGCGTGGTCGCAGCCGCCCAATAATCTGCACCCCCCCTTTACTGACTACGGAGCACTCCATACTGGCTGAGCTCAGTGCTCCGTCCTGGTATTCCGTACTCCGTCAGCATGCAATTGCGCACTTGCTAGGGGGCTTGCGGGCGTGTCTGCAACCGGACCTTGACAGTGCCATTTTCAATCGCCTACTTGAAATGGTCAAGTCCTCTCGTGCCCGCCAACACGCTCCATTCCCGTCCCTTTTCTCCCTCCTATGTCCCCCACTCCAATTTTATCCTTCAGTAAGACCAATTCAGATCGACTTCTCGTACGGAGTAACCTTTTCTTCCTTGCTTCCACCAATTACTCTTTATTTTCCATGCGTGCCTTGAGCCCTGGCTATCGCTTTGCAGGATTCGGTGCCACCAAATAAACCCTTTGATTCTATTCTTATTGATAGACAATCCCCCCCCCCCCCC